AAATCAACATTTTAAACCAAAAAATGACTTTATGTTTCATTTTCGGCGTTTTATCGGTAACTTTTATATATCATTAAATATTAAAATTAAAAAATAATTTCTTAATTTTACACGACAAAGAAATCAATTCTTTGGTTTCTGAAAGTATCTAAAAAAAAATCTGGAATTTGAACTCTTGTGAAAATATTTTCTACGTTTCAAAAAGTCTTGAAGTTAAAATCTTGAAATGAAAATGTCCAGAAAAATATAATGAATTATCAACATTATTACACCAGAGGGCGTTAGCGTATGTGTACAACTTTGATACAGACTATATATAGATTAGAAATCAAAAGTAGATGAAACACAAAGTCAATTTTTTGTTTAAAATTTTGATTTTGTGCATGAAATGTTGACATAAGAATGTAGAAACAAGAATCATTAGTTTAGAATGTTGCGTTCATGTCTAATATGTTCAAACTGGAATGTAGAAACAAGAATCATGAATATTGTCCCATTTGGTCTTCCATAGCTATAGTCTATAGATGTGGATTTTTGAATGGTAGAATACACATTGTACATGGACGGGAAATCTTCCTTTGTTCTTTTCGTTGAATAAGCAGATTGTTTTTCCTCTAGTAGATTGGGTGGACCGTGCAAAAACTAGACATTTTCATGTCATTGCACTCTTTTGCTGGTTTACACAACTTTTAGTAGAAATCATATTGAGAAGTGGGGGGGGGGGGGTCTGTGCAAACAACGAGCATGTTGTGCAGGTGTCAATGTTATAAGTCATTTATGGCACGCTTCGTTCGTTAAAAGGTTTAACATCTCGGCTTACGGCCTCGATGTTTAAACGTGTTAACTCATGGAAGCAGTGCTATAAATATAACTTCTCTTAATATTTCTGCATAAATTTTAACTTTCTTTTCAAAACGACAACAATAAATAGTGACAATGATTTTATTTACATTATGATTTCAGAAAGGCAAATGCATTCAAATAATATTCACACTAATAAATATATATATATATACATGTAGTTCCTATTTCAGGTATAATCTGAAAAGATTATAATACCAGTAGAAAAAGTGCACATAATTCTATGTTTACGGAAGATACATAACAAAATACCTCCAATTGGCATTCTGGTCAGAATATACACGGAAGAGGAACTAAGAATGGCTATTATTATATTATAGAAACCATTGTTCTAATTTTATGAAATATTCCAATAATAATCTATTGTTGCCGTGGTACCGTTTCATTCTCAGTGGGTATAAAACTGTATAATATATGACTTATCTATAATACTTTATATGCATATAATATCTGAAGACACTTAAGTGCAGACAGCTACAAGTAGCTTATGAGTAAATGCATATCAGAATGAAGAAATAAAAATATTGTTGATTTTAGTCATGGTGAACTCATGTATCAGTAGAACATAATGGAAACATTAAATTAAAGATACATTATGGGAGATTCGATAACCAGTTGGCAGTTCTCACTATAATAGTTAAAAACTAGATAATGTAAAGGCAATTTGCTGAAAATTTCATTCAAATTGATCCACTATGAACCGAGAACTAAGCATTGAAATTTCTGCCTAGCCTTGATCATCATTACTAAAGTCAGTACTTTTAACAGCATGGTCAAGATTATCCATTTAATCGTTAAATCACTAAGGAAAGTTATGCAGTAAATCGGCTCATAATCCACTAAAGATCACAGGCTAGCGATGCCATCTAGCTTTGATTATGGTCTGAATAGGTTAATTAATGTCTAATTAATAATTTAGATAGCATTTCAGGCCTAAAGAAAGACCTGCAATAGACAGATTTAGCTCTTGCATAATGTATGTTTAAGAATAGTCCACTAATTTTTGGTTAGTGCTAAATGATAAAGCCAACTAAATTTTCGTTATAGGTCAAGAGATGTAAACAGGGCTAGCGCTAATCCGAACCCTAACCCTAACCCTGGACCCAGCCCCAATTCTTACCCTAAACCTAACCTACAATCTTGCCAACAATCACGTGCCCTAACCTTATTTACATCTCAACCACCTTGACAAAAATTGGGCTGGCCTTAACAAATAGATTTAGCCCTACTTTTTAATGTGCATGATGTAAAAGTGTATATTTGCCTTTTCATTAGTAAAAGTGTGCATTTAATAAAGAAATGTAATATGGAGTTTCATGTTTGACTTTATCAATCTGTGAAATTATTGGTAGCTTTCAAGTACTTTCACCATCCAAAACTCTTTTATAATTAATAATTTATACTTGCATTTTATTTTTTGGTTATAGTGTTTCTACATATATTATATACATCCAAATGAGCTGTCCCAAAGCTTTATCTATGTCCTGTGCAGTCTAACCCTCTGCGATTGAGTAACAGGCTTTTCAGTATTTTAAATATGCTCTGAATTATGAACAATAAGAAAGTGAACAACTTATGGCTGATGTCTCTCAGGCATGTCAACTCCAGCCTGTACTTCTCAATTTCCATCAAATGCCACCAAAATTATAGACACAACATGTTAATTTCATGACCACATCAAACTGAACATAGCAGTCAGCTTAGAAAACTGTAGATATTGATGGTCTGGTTTGCCTTCTTTTTATATTACACAGAGAATCATTTAATTTTTACAGATAATTACATTTAATTATGGGAACAAACCTTATTGTAGTCTTGATCAGTCCAGCCTAAATTGTCTCCACTTCGACTAACAGTTACTAGTCTGGGCAAAATAGTATCATTGGTTGTACAGAAGTTCTTGTATGTTGAGAGAAAAAAAAAACATTACCTTGTATTTGAAATGGTCTAATGTATTGATACAATATTGCCCATAGTAGTTGGTGAGCTGAACAACCATCCAAAGAGTTACATACACAATAAATGCTATTTTTATAGACTAATGTTTGTTGTAGTCGAAGATGAGACAATATTGAGTGATCAAGACTAACCATAATGGACTAATATTATTGGCTAAATCCTGCTGTCCTCGATACAAAATATCTGCTAATCTTGTAGATCGCACAAAATTTACATGCAATTAAATGTAAAAACTTTCTCTACATTTTAAAAACATGATAAATATAATATATACATGTACAAAAGGCAGATAACCTTGAGTATGAAAATATAAAATTTATCTAGTTAGAAAATGGACATGAAAACTACACAAAATAGGTTGCCACACAACCTGCGTTCGATGTCTGGAGGTTGTTTATTTTCCTGAGATAATTTTTATAGGACCACATTTTCATGTGGAGGTATATATTGTCATCGCCCCTGTCTGCCCATCTGTTTGTCCGTTCATTTTGTTTGTGGACACACTACAGGTCAAAATGTTTATCTGATTTTGACCAAACTTGAAATATAGGTTTGTCTCCCAAAGATACGGTTCCTTTCAATATTTGCGCATATCAGACAGTAACTTCCTGGATTATGGCCCCTGATTGTACGAAAAATCAAATTTTTAGCTTGTGGCCACTCTAGAGGTCGCAATTTTTATTCAATTTTGATGAAACTTGAAATGCATACATGTTTATAACCCAAAAGATCTTGATTCCTTTCGATATTCACGCATACCGGACTGTAACTTCTTGGATTATGGTCCCTGATTGTATGAAAAATTGCGTCTTTAGTTGGTTGTTCCTCTAGAGGTCAGAACCTTTATCCAATTTTAAAAAAAACGTTTGAATATATTACCGTTACTGTCAGTTTAGTTTGTTAAAAACAGACTGAAAGTGCCGGACAAAATGGCTGCACGCAAATAGTGTTAAAGGTCACAATTTGTATCCGATTTTGATGAAACTTAAAACATGTGTTTATATTCCAAAGATGTTGGTTCTTTACGATAATCCCGCATATCGGACCATAATTTCCTGGATGATAGCCGATGATTGTGTGAAAAAATCTTGATTTTAGCTTGTGGATCCTCTAGAGGTCCCAATTTTTATCCGATTATAAAAATCTTTTAAATATATCATCATTACACCCTGATAATGGTTGAGTCCGAATTTCTTAAAAGTCAGACTGAAACTGCCCGAAAAAATGGCCGCTCCTTCAATGCAAATAGTGTAAAAGTATGTAAAAACAAGGTTGTGGACCCACTAGACGTCACAATCTTTGTTCGATTTTGATGAAACTTAAAATATATGTTTTTATCCCAAAGATCTCGGTTCCTTTCGATATTTGTGCATATCAGACTATAACTTCTTGGATTATGGCCCCTGATTGTACAAAAAATTACATTTTTAACTTGTGGATCACAATTTTTATCCGATTTTAAGAACCGTTTAATTATTTCACCGTTACACCATAATGAAAATTGAGTTCAAATTTCGGGAAAAGAGAAATGAAACTGCCCGACAATATGGCCGCTCCTTGTTTGAAAATTGTGTAAAAGTATGTAATATGAAGGCTTTGGACCCTCTAGAGGTCACATTTTTTTCTGATTTCTATGAAACCTAAAATATATCTTTATATTTCTTACGATATATGGGGGATGGATGGCCGAATGGTTAGCACGTGCGCACTGTATCATAAAGCCTGTCATTGAGTCAACTGGCGTGGCTTCGAATCTCCGTTTGTACGTGACACGGAGTAGGGTCGCCTGTCCAACCTCATGGGTTTTCTCCGGGTTCTCCGGTTTCTTCCCACTGCTAAAGACCCCTATGTGCAAGCGAATCATCAAAATTAGACCTAGTTTGTATGAAAAATCATGTTGTTATTTTTAGCTTGTTCTCCATCCATTTCTTGCAAAATGTGGCCGTATCTTGCCTGGCAACCGTTGGTTTGTGTAGATTAAAGAGCGAGTACAAGTAGAACTCTTTGTCTCAAAAGATAGAAAATGTTTTTTTGAATGATGATTATATTCATTTTAATTAATTAATTCTAAATAATTAATTAAACTCAATTGATGGAGATCCCTCATCAATGACCATTCCAAATTTTTTTTGGGTTATGAGTGAAAGATTTGGTAGTCTAGTGATTGACAGAAATGAATCCAAAGTCTTTGTTCATTTATTTATCTCTGGTTAATTTCATAATTATTCTCTGATGCTGCACTATATGAATATTAAACTACATATGATGCTGAACCTCAAAATAAAATAATTGATCACATCTTTGTAACAGGGTTAACTTATGTACATAACAGTGTCCAGATGTGGATATTGAGCTACCAAACACACCTTAAAGTCACATGTTAATATAATACTGCATATTACAATCAACACAAGAGGGAAGAAAAATGAAAGCCTAATAAGATGTCTAGAATATAGCTAAAGCATCTATGTCCTGCTCATACTCGTCCTTTCAGTATATCCCAAATCCTGATCTCACATCATATAAGTCAAGATTTTCAAATGTGAATAAAAGTGAGACACTTCAAGAATGAACTAAATTCAAGCTGATTTCTTAAAACAGAAAGTGATTTTGGTAATTGCACACCAATGGAATCCAACAATCCTTTGAATAAACACATCAAACAATTCATATCAATCACATATCATAATATTCAGTTCTATTCCGACAAAGACACACAGCAAATATGATACCTAAAACCTAAAATAATAAAAGTAAAAAAGTTAATACATATAAAGAAAAAAGTGGCAATTGGTAAGACCATTTAGTGGGAAAGGATGACATAATCAAATCAACAACATTTTGATGACATGTACATGATGATAGATCTAGATAATCTTTCAAAATTATTTGGGATCCCCGGAACCTACTGTATCACATATATAAAAATTGTGGACGCTTACTTTGTCCTTTGAGAAATGAAATGCAAGGGAGATAACTAATACAACAGTCTACAGCTTCTCTATCCAATATGATTGGACCTCCCAAATGGGTGAACAATTTTTAGGTAATATACTATTGACACTTGCTTAAGAAAATAGATCAGATGGGTATCCTTATCAATTACGGTTTCACCATGTTAATATTATATTGTCACAGACAAGTTTATAGTACCATCCAAATACACCATGCTTAAGTCAGAAGGCCGCAAAAATGAAAGAATTGTCATGAAAATCAAATTCCCCATAATCTCTGAGAAATATTGATGTCTTTGCTGAATAAGTGATTATAAAAGTGCATAGGGGCAGAGGTTGTTTGTGACAAATCGAGAGCAGTAAACTTCCAGACTTATTATGGCTAAACAAAATAATGACATTCAATTAAGTCACCTGCATAACTGTATCTTAAAGGTATCGTTTTCTACGTCTGATTAGTAAGGCCAATCAAAAAACAAATTGTCAAAATTGTTTGATTGAAGCGTAATGTAACAATCTTCTGCAATGTTCCTTTAACAATTTTGTAGTAATGCTCAATCAATTCTTCAAACAATAGAAACATTGATATATGTAATCCATGCTGGCAAATTGAGTCACAATGGGGAAATTTTGAAAATTGAGTTATTGTTTTTTTCACATTCTCCGCAAAAATTGACTGATCTATATCCGTTTGAAGTTTCCCCAAGTCAGAAAAGGTAGTTTTGCGAAAAAGCAAGTTAAAGATCAGTGACCACGCCAGCCGGGGTTGTTGGAGGGGCAAAGCTAGGGCAAAGTCCAAGATTAAGGGGGCAAAGGTATGAGCTTCAACTAGGGGTAGACTGCCGGAAATACTATCTAACAGTATTCATTCAGGCACCGATTGTCGAGATAAATAGAGCTGACCAGATACCGTCCGTCGTCTGATGATTAGTTTATCTGGCCAGAGAACAAAGTGTCAAACGAATGGACTTGCAAACTGCAGGAAATGCTGTCGAAATAAATAGAGCTGATCAGATACTGTCGTCTCATCACTAGTTTTTCCGACCCCAGAGAGGAAAGTGTCAAATGAATGGACTTGCGAACCTCAATGAAGCCCCCGAAAGTTTGAAAATTAGACTGCCAGAAATGCAGTCTGGCAGTATTTCAGGCACTGATTGTCAAGACCTGATTTATGGGGAGGGGGGGGGGGCGCAATAGCGCCCCTTGCCTGCCCCCCCCCCCTTGGCGCCACCATTGTTAAAGATGTTGGCATGTTCTAAAACAAAATCACATTGAATTGTCAAATTCAGCTACACCTTTGTTTGAGTGATACTTATTAATATTATACTTTAGTTATTGTATATTAATTACCTGTATTAAAGCTATACCAACACCAACTCCTATCAGTATTACACTTTGACTAGTTAACCAATCCATTATAGATGGAAAACATCCCTACAGATATATAAAATATACAGTATATAATTAGTTGAGAAAGATATTTTCAAATTTACTTGAAAACCAAAATTGAAACAAATACAATACCATCTCCATATACCTAAATTAAATGACACCTTAAAGATACATAAAAGTATGGCAATTTCGGTATATATATAGAAAGTTGCAACATCCAATCTTACTAGAAAAATACTGGAGTCACTGAAAAACATCCATGGAGAGGGTGTCACTAATAGACAGCCCGACGATTTGGGCTGTCTGCTCGAGTGACGTCAAAGGGTGCATACATAGATTGTCTGATCTCTTTGCGTTATGGAGCACTTAACGTATATTATTTTAATAAACTTGATGGTGACCGGACGTGGAAAAAGTGAGACTTAAACATACAGCAGTTTCTGAGATAAAAAACGTGGAAAAATATGTGGACAGGGGGTAATCCGAGAATTTACGTAGGCTTTGATATTTATGGTAAATGGCCAAGTTTAAGACAACATCATCTTTTATATAATGAATTCTACTCCGGCTTGGCACCTGTTGGTAGTTTCCGCAACTGCCAAGTACCATGACACAAACATGATTTCTTTAAATTGATTTTTTTATAGCTTGAGGTATTTCCTCACGAATACAATGCTTTTAGAGGGATTTAAAGCAAATTTTTGATAGTTTAATTAGTTTGAATATGTTTTTAGTCCAAATACATCATCGAATCACCCAGATTGCACATTGAAAGGTATCTTTAATAATCGGCTTGGATAGTAATGCACCTAATCCAAAAATTTCTTGAATTTGGTGTTTGATAAATGATTCATTTTGTGATTTGTCATGATGATGGGAAGCTCTGCCTACAGATATTTGGATTATCAAAACATTAAATGATTTCACAAAGAAAATACATATAGATAGGTAATTCAAATATGTTACAATACAGATATATTGAACTTATATGTATGTGCTCATAACTATATAACTATGAAACAGGACAAGAAAGAAAACTACCTCTAAGGCTAACTTGATATTTTTAATATTTTACATATATCTTACTTTTGATCGCAGTTCTTCTCGTTTATCACTGGGTATAAGACTTCCCGGTTGAGCCTCTTCTTGACATAATCCTATATTAAATGGCACATAATTTTGGGCATCAGTACCAAGACCTTTGCAACATGTTTCTGGTACATACTCCTTCAAATATAAACATATACATGATTCCATTGTTTTGAATAACCTAATCAAAATTAATCTATGGTAGTTATTCAATATATTTCAGATATATAAATATTTACATATAACTTAATGTATAATCCACCATTCTTCTATAAGAAGGCATAATTACTCTCACTAACAAATAAATGTAACTGATTTTGAATAGTATTATATTAAAAATAAACATAAGTTCATGTAATTATGGAGAATTCAAACTTCGAACACTGAGTACAGGATTTTTCACAAGAATTTGTCAAACGCCTTGAAAGCCACTGAAAAAACTGTTTGACCCATTATAAATCGAAAGTTGGATGATGTATATTTGAGGGATGGCTTGGCAAACAATCTAATTTGAACATGCGATGTAACTGTCTAACCAAATCATGTCAAACCTTTGAAGACTTCAAACATGTTTACAGGAAATCACTTTTTATTTAGTAATAAAACTGTCAACAAATTTGAATGAAACATTGAGTATTACAGCATATATATATATGAAACACCATTCATATGTATCTGGTTACCTGTTTCAACATATAACTAGGGTACTGTAAGAAATAAGGCAATTAATTACTGAAACTGAAATGCAGGAAGACATTATAATGATATATTACCTGAAGTGCTTGGGTATGTGATGTATACCAATAACTTGAACGATAATCAGTAAAATTATCAGCTCCACAGCAATGTAACTGAATTAATAAGTTACCATATTAGCAATATCAACTTTGTGAGAAAAATAAATTATCTCCTTTTACTGTGCTTCTAATTCGTTCTACGGTACATTGATATTTTTTAAATAGAAATCTATTTCATCGAAAAATTGTCTTTTGAGGAGAAATTACAGCTTTTTAGGGGACTCTCATTGTTGTGTTAACCAATCGTTAGTAAGTAGGAACATAAGGTTCTTGTGAAATGAAGTGAAATTGTGTTTAATATCCTACTTTTCTGCAGCAACCATGCTAATGAAGATGAGCTTACGTCATACAGTGTACTACAGCCTACTCTTATTTTGATTTCTTATTATCAAGGATTCATTTATGTCTTAACCAATGTTTACACAAGACCTTGTTTATTGTCCCACCCGAACCACAAGACAATGTTTCTTGCCAGGTTCCCTGTCCTGACAAGGGGAAACCATACCAGAAATTCCAGAGGAACTGTCTTAGACAGCGAACCTGAGATCTCCTGGTTAGATAGTTTCTAGCTTTCACAACAATTTTTTGTTTTTTGTTGTTTTTGGTGACTTCTTTTTTACATTACAGACACTGTATAAAAGTCTTACCTTAACTTGAAGAAAATCTACAGTAGAGTTACCCATTCCTGTATAATTTCTTACACTATCAGAAATAACATCATGTACATTTTTTTCCAACTAAAAAAAGAAGAAGAAAAAGAAAATATGTTGAAAGGCCTATTATTCCTTTAAATTGTTTGTAAGCCAAATGCAACTCATGGCTTCTTCTAGAAACATACGCTAGAAATTTTGATATTGTACAAATTTTGGGAAATATCAAGAAAATAACCTTTAAAGTTGCAATTATTAAATACATCCAATAGTTAACTATCTAAAATAGGATTCCAATGAAAGAGGAATAATGTTAATGTATTTACAAATTCATACCAATTTTGTAAAGATGGGTTGCCAGGAAATGAAACATGCCCACAGCAGCTGAATCATCCAAGCAGTCGACATGGGTTGTCACATATTTATGCTTTTGTAGGTAATAGGAGCATTTACAAGACACTGATATGGATTTCATACAGATCGAAGTTTCACAAGGATCAACAAAGTGAAAAGGGCCATAACTTTGGAGGTTATTGACAGAAATTGCTTAAATTCAATAGGCTTATTCTTTTTACTAATCTCATAATCTTGGATGATAACTTTTGTCATTAGATGTTTCACAAGGGGTTCAACAAAGGGAAACAAGGGCCATAACTCTACAAGTTATAAACAGAAATTGCTGAAATTCGATAAGCTTCTTCGTCACACTAATAGATACAATATATATCAGTTTCAAACTGATCAGATAATAAATGTAGGCACTGGCATGTGGGCGTATAAAAATAGATTCAATCATTGTCCCAAAAGATTTGTTTAGTCTGACATAAAATTTAATTTTTTTCAATTTCTTTGAAAGATTGTCTTTATGATCAAAACTTGCTCCCAGTTGTGAAAATATAGTCTAAAAAGCATGCAGTAGTTTTAAAAATGTTTTTGTATTTTTCTGATATATAAAATTCAAAGTAAAACAATTCTTGCAAAATAACTGGCTGTTATTTTGTATGGAGCCGAATTGTTGCCACATTAAGAGAAAATATCATGGTTAAAATTGCAAAATTATCATAGTCAAAATGGTAAAAATGGCCATTTTCGAGATTTTTCACTTTTAAATATCACATAACACTTAATATATTTTAATGGATATTTAACATCTTGAAGATCACTGTGAGTATCAAAACAAAAATTGCTCGACCAAAATTAACAATGTAAAAAATCTAGTTATTTTTTATCCCTCTCTACTTTTCGCCTTTGTAAATTCACTGTAAATTTTTCATCTTTGCATTTTCAACTATCAGATTTTCTCAATTACATTTTCGACAATCACAATTTATCCAATCTAACTGACCATGTAAGGAAAGGAGCGTGTTTCCAAGTTCGGCCGAAGTGGACGTCATAACTCATCTGGACTAAAACTAATGCTCTATGATAGGTACTATTGGCACACAACATCATAAATCTACGTTGATATAAGCGGCTAATGCATTTGGGGTACTTAGGTAAAGCTGAGGGAATAGTAAGAGCAGGAGGACCGCATCACACAAACAATTACACAATACAAACCCGTGGATACGACACACAATATCGGCTACACATATATTTCAAACAATAAGCAACAAACATATCAAATCAAGTGAATGGATCCGGGGCCAGCTGTAAACATCCACTGTGCTGTAGGCCTACAGTACCTTATCATGATAGATTGAAAAGGTAAATTAAAATATTCTGGGTAACTGACCCAGTGATAACAATAATTCATACCTCTTTTTAGGGATATTTTATTTTTTTATTTTCCACAAATTAAAGATCTTTATCATCTAAATATTGTAACTGTTCTTGTGGAATAAATAACTTTGGCAGATCAACTCTTCCTAACGAAACATGATACTCTCTACCATGTCCTATTGTCATTTTTGAAATTTATTACATCGTCTAATAACTGTAAAGCTTTTCTTAATTGATTAAGGCAGCCAGACACCTCTTTTGTATTTTTATACTTATTTCAGATATAACACCAGCAATTTGCTCACATCCATGCCGATGTGCTGTCAAAGATTCATACAATCTATTAAGACAATGAGCGAACCTCAAGGTTCGATGATATAACTCATTAAACAAAAAGTTGTTTGACATGGCAACGAATTTATAAAATAATAAATAAAATTGGACAATTCTTTAGAGTTATGAATAACCCAATGAAGCAGTGATTTTAGCCAAGACGATAAATACTGACATCTTATGACGTCAACTTCGGTTGAATCCGGATCCACACCCTCTGTCCGTTCTATTGGAGAAATTTTGGTGGTGGAAAATACAATGGAGAAATTCTGATAGTTGAAAATACAAAGATGAAAAAGTTACAGTGAATTTGCAAAGGAGAAAAGTAGAAAGTGAAAAAAACATAACTAGATTTTTTGGTTTGTTTTGATACTAATATAGTGATTTTGTGTTATGTGATATTTACAAGTGAAAAATCTCGAAAATGGCCATTTTTACCATTGTGACTATGATAATTTGTCAGTTTTAACTATTATATTTTTCTCTTAATATGGCAACGATTCGGCTCCATAATTTTGAGCAGCAATTTTAATGTGTTGTTTCATGCATACAATAAAAGATATCTATGACACAAAGTTAGCATGAACTATAGCTGTGAGTACAAAGTAAAAGTCAAGAGTGATCACAAACATTTACAAAAATTAATTATGTTGTCTCATCAGAAAAAAAAATGCATTTTCTTTATTCATAGAACCCTTGTTCCCTTTGTTGTGCAAAAATTGAAATAAGAACTATTTTGTGTGATCCTTACTCCTTATCCTTACTCTTTAGTCCTAGCAAAAATGTCAGTCCTACCCTGGGCAACTTATTCAGAGTTTGGCTCAGGGCCCTCCAACGGATTTGCTGGATCAAGTTTGCCATTGAAAACATTCCTGTAACACTGATGGTTAATTTAATTGCCTATATATGAAAGTATGGAAATAAATAAAATACTTACATTACCCTTTTCAACAGCTACATATATCCCTGCTGCTAATTCTCCTAACATCACAATAACCATACAGAATATATACTAGAAAATATATAAACAATATTGTAAACAATATACAATTAAGGTACCAGTAAACATGAATGAACAGGAAATATTTATGACTTTATACAAAATATGAGGATAGTGATAAATCAATCTATAATGTAAAAGCAAATTTTAAAGACCAGTTTGGATTTTCCTTATACTAATTTTAATGATCTGCTTGGATCTGCCTTTTTTACAAATTTTTAAGACCGGCTTGAATTTTCCGTTTACAAATATTTAAGATGTGTTTGGATTTTCTTTTTACAAATTTTAAAGACTGGCTAGGATTGTACTGTTACAAGTATACAAAAAAGGCTATATTTATCTCATCATGCTTCACCAATAAGTAAGAAGAATATGGAATATTTAGGCAAATGAGAAATTTCTGATTAACAAATGGCACAACTACTATAATAGGTTGATCTGTCTACAAAGTTTCATAAAGACATCTTGAATGGTTTATGAGATATGATCTGGTAAGTAAACCGGGACCGCAGGACTGAAGAACAGACAATGTCAATTTATATTTCTCTCCCTTCACCTTTGTTCAGCGCAGGATAATAAAACATATTTCAAAACATGCATTCCTGTAATCAGTGTGTTGATAAATGGAATAAATAGGTTCATTTTAAATAGTAGTAGTCAAATAATCATTAATTGATGTATTTCAGTAGGTGTTAAATTAAACGTTTACCACACTAAGACACATGTGCTATGTTGCATTTACCTGAGTGCACAACTGCACATGGTATAGCAGTTAGCTGCGAGCACATGAACATGATGCAGCAATTACCTGGATGGATATTGGTATGATGTAGCAATTAACTGCAGGGACATGGGTATGATATTAAAATTACCTTGAAAGGACACTGGTATGATTTGGCAATTAACTGAAAGGACATAGGTACATGTATGATGTTGCATTTAACTGAAAGAACATAGGTATGATATTGCAAGTACATGTAGATTCAGATGGCTGTGTGTAAATAATGTACTTACTATTCCCAACATAACAGAACTTTCTCTAACAGCACCACAACATCCACAGAAGCCGGCTATAAATACAAATGCTCCAACTGCTATCATTATATAAGCTGCCGTATAGAGAAATTCTAACGGTATATCCATATCTATTAATGTGGCTAGAAAACTCTCTAATTCATCCGATACTAGGATAAATATACCAGTTCCTAAAACAGCTCCTCCCGATATCTGTACAAAATAACACAGATGACATATCTACACGCAAATAATCTATAAGTATACAACTTTACTTCAGGAGAAATATAAATTATGAAACATCCATGTGATGGATTTTTCATTCTCAAATACAAAAGATATTTTGGATATCGTTAAATATTGTTCAAGTATAATGTGTATTTTTATTGCTGGACATAATTCACTCCATGCTGTAGCAGCAATATTATAATACATCAACTAAGAATTCTAATAGTCTAGTATTTTTAACTGATGAGACAAAAATCTGGCAGTGTAAAGAAATTTATTAAGAATGGCTAAGTATCTTACCCAGAAGATGAAGTTAAATATAACCAACATTAACCGAGAACATTTGGCACAACCTCCTTCTGCCATCTTGATAACTATGGTGACTTCAACAACCAAAACAAAGTTGACCTCGTCTTCTGGAAAATGTAAAAAGTAATAAAGTATGATATACATCATTTAAGATCTGCTCGGTCCACCCTGACTTTTTCTTTTACTGTTGTGACAGATATCATGCATAATGCAGGGGTACGCTTTTATGAACACCCCATACCATTTCCGATTTAAGTATTTTATAATACAAATGTACAATAATAGTTTGTTAAGTATAAAGTGTTCTAGAAATAGTAGGGCATACTCTGTATAATATCCATGGCATATATATTCATCCATACACATGACTAACTGGACACAGATTTCCATTCAAAACCATGGTATATAATAATAATAATAATAATAATAATAAAATATTATTACATTATAAGCAGTATTATAACTGCAAACCATATAACAAAGAGAGATATCCATAAACCATGGCGGTTGATGGTATATTTCAATAAAATAAACATTACGAACCATGGTATATAACAATAAAATATACATTACGAACCATGGTATATAACAGTAAAATATACATTATGAACCATGGTATAAACCAATAAAATATAAACTATATATTATAAACCATGGTATAAAACAATTCAATATAAATCATAGTACCAGGCAATGCAGGCATATAACAATACAATATAGACTATACATTATAAACCATGATATAAAACAATACAATATAAACTATACATTATAAACCAAGGTGTATAACAATGAAATAAAAGCTATAAAAAAAACATGGTATATAACAGTAACATATAAATTATACATAATAATGGAATATAAGATATGATATAGGTTTATAACAATAACATATAAACTCTACACAATACCACTGATATACTGTAATTAATCTTTGTATTACAAACTATGGTTATTTATATAAAATAAAACCAAGTACGAACAATCCAAACCATAAGACAGAATTCGAAGTCCTAAAAAACGTTATAGGCAAAATAGTGTATTCGAGCTAAATAGTGTAATAAAGCATTATTATTATTATTATTATTATACAATGTTCAAATACACCGAATCTACTTAAAATACTGACAGATCCATTCACTCGATTTGATAGTTCTCTTATGGACTTACAGTGCCATGTTTTGTCTAGCTGTTTATGTGCTTCTTCTTCTGTTTTCTAGTTAGTTGTTGTTTTGTCTTCTCCTCCAACAAAAGCTATATAAGTGTTCTGAAGCTTGATGAGTAAACTATGCCATATAGATAATATGTTATAGGTATTGTCAGTAGTAATATTATATTTTTACAAAGATCAAATACATGAGGTGTTGTGTTCAAATAAAAGAAATTAAAAACTTGCATCAGTTATCTATATAAAATCTACCTGGCAATATTATATATCCTCGTCTGATTCACACACACATCTTCATACTGATAAACCTGAACAACATCTCTAACAAACAATATTCACTATACTAAATGTCAGATAGCGTAAACATCAGTTTCTCGTAAAACTAGCATATGGAGGATTTTCAAAGCTAGGAAAATCTGTGAAGGAATGTAGCCAATTAGAAATAAATCCTTCATATTTACTTTCCTACTTAATTTCTTGTACAACAAAAATCACTGGATGTTCACAAATAATTTGTTTGAGTAATTAGTTTTTGAAGTTCTTTGTTCTGTGTGTTTTGTTTAAAATCTATAAGAAGTAGGAAGATGATTTTTATGTTTAGTACAACTACAAATATATTATACACAGCTTATTTTAGTGTCAAAACATTAACTATCTTAATATACTGTAGGTAATACATACTACAGGGTTACCAATTACAAAAAAGAACATAAAACGAAAGGCACAATAAAGAGTTTCTGATTTTTAAAATAATAACATCCATTAATTACATATTATGTTCTGTGTAATGCGGGTTTATATAAAACTTTTTGTAAACTAAAATATTAAGCATGTTTTCTCATGTACAAACTGTGTGATTTAATGATATTTGGACTAAAAACATATTCAAACTAATTAATCTATCAAAACGTTTTAATCAGAATAAAAATACCTAGCAGGATGTTAAACTTAAACCCCCATTTCATTTCATTTCATAAAACTAGCCCAAATGCCTATTAAAATCTATTTTGAGCAGCCTTCGTCATGTGACTTGATTGAGAAGATGGTCGTTATTCGCTGTCCATTTACCATAAATACATGTATCTAAGCCTAAGTAAATTCTTGAATTATCCTCTGCCCACTTCTTTTCCGCCATTTAAGCGCAGTCTGCAGTATGTTTAAGTCTCTCACTGTTCTCACAGCCGCTAACTATTCAATCAACAAAACCAAGTGCACCTATGTCATTCAAGCAGACAGCAAGTAGACAGACTGCCAGTTAGTGATCCCATTACAATTTTGTCATGTGGGCGCCTCATATATATGTGTTTTTCAGGAAATCTAGAATTTTTCTACTTTCCATTTATACCGAATTAGCCATACTTTTACTGGAAATAACTACCGTATAATCAGTCTTTATTAGCCTGATCAACACAGAAATGTGGGATGTTAAACCCCATTTCATTTCTTCCCTATAAATACTTTCATGGGAAAGCATCCTTAAGAGTATTTAAGATTAGGCCTATATTGTCAAAATCCATATCCACATTTCATAATCAGTAATATATGTCTCTTATTTGCAGTGTGTTCTCCATTTTCCAAACTTGTGAAGATCTTTTATTGCTAACTCGAACGAAACATATGCCCGCAGCTAAGACATCCGAGCAGTCCACAAAGGTTGCATATATATTCTCGTTTTGGTAGTGCTAGCATTTATTACATTTATCATACAAAATACGTACCGGTCCGATAATCAGATGATAACTTTAGCTCCCATGACCTTACACACTGAATATAAATGTCTAGTTAATCGAAATATAACTTTAGTTTAGCCTCTTGAACGTCCACAATAGATCAAGGGCCACGAGTCCAAGTCATTGAAAATTAATATTAATATTATGAACATAAACACAGTGTGTAAATTTCAAATGTATCTTGAGCCTCTAGAGTGTTAACAAGCAGTTGTCAACGACAAGGATGGACAGGGGTTACATTAATATATATTCAAATTTTATCCAGGTTGAACCATGAATATATTATAAACAGGAAAAACAATTTATGATGATTATAAACAAATATCTATTTCTGACAGTTTTGGATACATCTGTATCAGGGATGCTGTTTCAAAATTTTGCTCATAGAACATTTTTAGATTGGGTTAATAGAGGCCAGAATTAGGCTCTGTATACAGTACGGTAGTATAAGTAAACGCATAGTCATTATTTATACAGTTGTTCATGTAACTGGCACACTTAACAATCTACACATAGATATAATGACTTACTTTCTATGTAATAATTACTTACATGTATTATTTAATCTTAGTATTCTACAGTCTGTATATCTCTTGGTACAAGGATCTATATGTATTGATAGAGTTTATATTACATCCTACATCCTACCTACTTGTGGCCAGTATTTATTATTATTATTATTATACAACATTTATAAAGCGCACATCCGTCATTCAAGTGTTCAGCAACGTTTTGTAAGTTACAATAGGTTATCTCATCAATATACTCAAATATATTAAATTATCCATAGAACTCGAAAAATAAAGCTCTGAACACCTTTGTTATATAGTGTATAAAAAAGTCCAAATAAAACAAAAGGCCTATAAAAATAGTTAAAGTAGCCAAATCTCTAATTCAATATTTACGAAAACATTCGAAATTAAAAACACGAATTAGAATCCAATATTGGTCTATTTCAATCAATACTGATGTTGTTATCTTGCTGTGAAAATATGGGATTCAAATATCCAATATTTAAAGATACATTATGGGAGATTCGATAACGAGTTGGCAGTTGTGACTATAATAGTTAAAAACTAGATAATGTAAAGGCAATTTGCTGAAAATTTCATTCAAATTGATCCACTATGAACCGCAAACAAAGTGATTGAATTTCCGCCTAGCCTTGATCATCATTACTAAAGTCATTACGATAAACAGCATAGTCTCAATTATCCATTAAAGGAAAGTTATGCACTAAATCGGCTAACAATCCACTAAAGATCGCAGGCTAGCGATGCCATCTAGAGTTGATTATGGTCTGTAGTTAATTAATGTCTAATTAATAATTTAGATAACATTTCAGGCCTAAAGAAAGACCTGCAATAGACAGATTTAGCTCTTGCATAATGTATGTTTAAGACACAATAAATGAATGACGATATTTTTCACCCCTTCAAAACAGCTGTGTATTGAGGACAGTAAGTTACTGATTATGAAAGAGGAGTTCAACCTTTGACAAGAAAAATAGAATTATGGTGATCAATCAGGTATGGGATGCATATTTCTGTCCACGATTTTCGTAATAGAATTCGAGTTACTTTGCTGCGCACCATCGATCCCATTGCTGGAGCCACCCCTATGCATGATACATTAAAATTTGATAACATTTGTTGAAGTGAACATCAAAGTTTGTTCTAGTAATCTTAGTTATAGGTCAGAAGCTGGGCAAGTTGCCGAAACAAGCTCATACACGAGACATACCTGCATAACAGATATCCAAATTATTTTCTTAATTTAGAATTTTATTTTGTCACAGATACAGTTATGACAACTGGCAAATAACTGCTGACCGATATATCAGCCAATGAAATCGCTGCAATTTGCTGTGATCTTTGAAGGTACCCAACATACAGAAACTGGATTCGTATATTTAATTGTAAGTACACGCCAGCCACAACGTCCATATGTAGGACATGGATCTGTAGGTGATGGATCTGTAGACACTTGAGACCCCTTTCTGTGCCCGTGGGCAGTATAGTATACATCCTGATCCCCGGCTTTCCTGGCAACGATGATGACCAGGATAATAAGTATGCACGACGCAATATGGAAAGACAATGGCATCACAGGTATACCATTCGCCCTATTCCGCCAAATATGTGTCAAATGTATGATATTGACAACACAGTATATTACAACATGCTCAGACAATATCGTTATCTAATAT